AGAATGTTAAAATTTTGCATTTTCAGCAACACTTAAGCATTCTATATAATTATTTGAATAGCCCAATAAAATTATTTTCAGATTTATATCTGTAAATGCTAAATGTTTAGCTAATTAAGCAGAACCGTCTTTTTTTGTGATATTATTACATTCTATAAATAAATGTTGCGTGATTCTAAATTATAAATGCATATATACGTTGACAATATCATCATGAGCATGTGGAATGATGTAACTTTTTGTTGCAAAAGATAATAAGGGAAGTGATTTGCGAATGAAAATTACTCGATAATATTTCATCAAAACTACTTATTATACTAGTTTTTCCTGATGAACACGATCATATAAATACGATTATAGCACGACTATAATTACATTTTAACATATCGGGGAAATATTTGTCCTTAGAACGCTGTATAATAACCGTCAATTAATATTGATGTACTTTATATATGTGTAAGTATATGCGACAAGACAAACAGAATACAATATTACAAAATACAGCATACGCGCGCGCGCGAAGAATTCCGTTGAACATGCGATAAAAACTTCATTGATCAAGTAAAAAAATATGCTCCTCATACAAAAGAATTCAAAGAAAATATATTTGACTTAAATATAACTTATATTTTTTCTTCATCGAAAGAAATAACGATAAATTAATTTAGTCATAAGAATAATTTTTTTCTTAATGTAGAATTTTGTTTTCTTTTAATGTCAATCTTGTAATCTCTTAGAACGCGCAATCACCTTGAATCAATAATTACGATTTTAAAATAAATCTCATTCTCGGAAAAGAATTGACGTTTGTCGCGTGATGAATATCCCGTCGCTATCACGACGTGTCGATCGTTTCGCGAGACCCGCAGGTGCGTTTCCCGGTTACGGAAATTTATAGACTGATTCGCGCCTTCGGGTTCGCGAGAGCTTCGTCGTAAGATCTAGAGCGCATACAGGAAAAGAGCAGAGCCGAAGGGAATCGGCTCCGATTCATTGCCCTTATTCGTTACGGTCGTACGTTACGGAGCGTTATCTCGATACAGGTGCGTATTCGCGGAAGACGAACGCGGGTCGTTACGCTGGACGAAACGGTATGCAGATAAGTTCGCGCAGCACTTTTGGCCTGGATGCCATAAACGCGATAGACTCGGTCGTGCCTTGCCTAGCTGGTCGTCCCGTTTTTGGAACGAACACCGATCGCACCGATTATATGAAATGCCTGCACACGCGTTTTTTCACGAAAAATCGTTGTGTTGCAAGTACATCTGGTTGGATACGTTCCAGTTGAATGGAATGAAGAGCTTCGTTCAAGGGAACTAAACAGTTCTGTCAAACGATAAAAGAAATAAACCAATCTTAAAATTGTAATTAATGGATAATTAAAATTATTATTATTGGAATCAATTTTATTAAACGTTTCTTGTTTCAACCGTAAATAGTGTAATAAATAAATTGAGGTCAGATTTTTGTTAACAGAAAGCTTGAGAGCTGACGTTACTTGACAGAAATTTTATGATTAATTTAAATATTTTATATTAAATAGACCGACACGGACTTATATTTTAAATTAAATTTCTGACGTAATAAATTAAATAATAATTACATAAAAGACAATTTTGTAATATTTTTACGTAAAAACAGAATCGATTGTGATAAATGCAGGTTAAAATTGAAAATGAATACACTGAAAATTACGATACAAATTAAGATTGCCAAGCAGGTACTTCCCGCAGAAACGTTCTACCAGCACGATATCCAAGCTAATGCATTTCTCATACTTTCCGCGAGCGCGAACAAGCGATAGATCTCTCGTGGAGTGAGTCACGCCTAGCCGATCGACGCCGATTCGTATACGATCGCTGATAAGGTCGCTCTCGTGGAACTCTTTAAGCGTTAAAGTTCTATAGATACATCGAGTCGTGCAAACGTTCGAACCGCGCTTGTTCGAATCGGTTATACTACGCGCGGAACCGTACATTTCACGAAAGCCACCAGTTGAATCGTTCTCGCGTCATAAATTTGGGAACGCGACGGTAGTACCATAAAGCGAAAGAACCAGACGAGACGAGAGGTGGCACGCGCGCGTTTAATCCCCGGCCCTCGTCGAAAACTGCGAGGCGAAATCGGCAAGTTCGACGAGCTAATCGTCGCTCCGCAAATTAATGCTGCCGCTTAACTGAAATTTCGAACGATATTTATCCACGGCCCTGCTCGCTCGCTCATTCTCTGGCCGGCGATAAATTATAAGAAGCGGCGGATTACGTCATAATGGACGCCGAGCACGCGCATCTGTTTTACGAGCGCGGCGTTACGGTAATCGTCGAGCGAGCCGACCGACCATCGCTCTCGCCATCGCTGCCCGTGTTTCCCGCTTATAATCGGCCGAACTCTCAATGAGTTCTGTATCACTCTACCAGCTTATGCGGAGGGAACGGAGAGAGAAGGGAGAGTTCCCTTCCGAGAGAGACGGCGAGAGGGTGCCCGCGCCGCAGTCCTCCCCCGAGGGGCAAAACCGCGGTGCGTATAATCACTGTAATTTCGATCAGGGCGCAATTTTTGTCCAGGCCGATCGCGACGTCCGTCCGATTTCATTAACCCTTCATCTCGGCCCGGCAATTTCAATCCAAGTCCCGTATACAATGTCCTATACGGAAGCAAAATCGTGGGAAGCGAAAGCTGGTAAGACATCACCTTTAATTTTTCTTTAAGCCTTCCGTTACAGAAGACGTGATCAAATTACGTCAAGAAAGGGATTTTTGATGTACCTTAATTATAGACAGATAATTTTTATTGCCGTTCTGTGTGTATTATTATTTTTATTACTGTATTCTTATTTGTATTCGCGTAAATAAATACAGAAGATGTGCGGATCAAATTACATTAAAACAGGAATTTCCAGTGTATTATGTATTTTAATCATAGATATATCATTTTTATTACTATCCCGTGTATTTATACAGACAAATAAAATGTAATATAATTATAAAAGAGTAGCTTGTGTTTGACATATTAAGGTATGGTTGGAAAATGTTATTTTTCCTCTTTCATGAATCTGCAATCTTGTTAAAACATTAACAAGAGAAGTAAAAATAATGTTGTATATTGTATTTTGAGATACATCAATATACTTAGGATATGATAGATGTAACACCGATTGGCTGTCATAAAATTGAAAAAGATTAATGTCAGCGTAACCTCACGCTGCTCTTTACAGGTCGCCTAACGATAACACGGCGTGACGTGCTAATTGCGGTCGATTTTGCGTTACGTAGCATTTTCTTACCCTCGACATGCACTTTTTTTTACTTATGAACGCACCCTTTATCTGTATGTTATACCCGTGACACTCTCAGCAATCTAATTTTTAATCGGAAACAATATTGCTATTTAAAAGAATGGCATTGAACAAATTAAAAAATTTGGAGCTCGAAGTGAAGAAAAAACACTACTTTCTCTTCTATTTACTATTTATTATGTTTTAATATAATTCTTATAATCGACATATACAGAATTTGCAATAAAGATTTAACAAATAATATGTGTGCGTGCTAATTATAATTTTTTATTTAACATTCTTATATGATTTTTAATTACTTGTATTCCTTAGTTTAGCTCGAATTAAGATTTATGTCACAGATTTGTAGTCAGATCGAAATGTACTATCAATTATCATTTATTTCACATTTCTGATAGACGCGTTCGTACAACATTGCATATACCAATTGACCTGACCTATAATGTACGAAGGATTAAGAAATTTTGACGATTCACGGTTCGGACACGATAATGCGTCGCTTGCACGAAATAGGAGATGCAACGTACTGGTTGCGTGTTCAGAAATTTCACGCGCCTCTCGGCGATAATTCGTACGCATGCCGGCGGGCAAAAAAATAAAATTTCTACTGCCGCCTACGTCGATACGCCGTATACTATCGCCATTCTCCGATTACCGATTTTATCGAGTCTCAATAAGATCGCGGCGAACGCGATATTCTTGCTTTCGTCACGGAGGTATTGTTCCCTCCCTAAGTACCATACCGTTCCGTATAATTGTATAATCCAATACGAAATACACATAACTAAAGCGCATCGGTCAAAGCGTGATTCTTGTCCTTCTGCAATCTACAAAAGAATGCGCAACGTAATTTCAAGAGCTTTTAAATGATGACGTGAGATTACAGATTGCTATATGAGAGTAAAAAACTTATATCTTCAAGAGACAAGAATAACCTCTTTATGAATACCGTTAATTTCTGCGGATATAAGAACAGCGAGTGAAAAACAACGAAAGAATCCACGAGTGTCTTGTATTATTTATAACAGTACGTAAATAAACGCCACGTGAATTCTCTTATACAGCGATAATATAAAAAACAATTTAATAATTATTATGTTAGTTTTGACGATCACATTTAAATCTCGTCAGTTTTTCGAACTGGATTTTTGCTTTTATAGTTGTAATACCTATAAGAGGATTTATACTTATTTCTGTCAATGTAGGTTAACTTTAATTTTGGTTTAACTTACTTTTGATTTTTCCTAATTATCAGAGTTAGAAAAAGATACGTATTTAGAACGCGCCTGTAACAATAGCGCGTATTTAACTATATAGTTCACGTTACTATAGAATTTTATAAATAAATGCACGCATCTATCGATAAATGCGTATTCTGAATACGGACAGGAAGTTGAACCGAGATTAAAGTTAATCTACATTAATACTCGTTTCAATGTAGATTAACTTTAATCTCGGTTTTACTTACTCTTTATCATTTTCTAATTTTTAGAATTGGAAAGAGATACAAAAGTGAGTTAAACCGAGATTAAAGTTAATTTATACACTGGTTGAAATGAACATAAGATAGAAACGGGCATTAATCTTTCGTCAAACAGGGCTGAAAAATGAGAAAAATTTCAGCGATCTTTCGATTGGCTGGAGTGAGGAGGGGGGAGGAGGGAGGGGGAGAGGAGAGGAATACGGGAAAAGGGAGCAAACTCACGGGCATCGGTGGATGAAGACCGCGGAACGCGGTGCTGCTCCACTTGCGCTGCCTAGCCTGGTGATAGTGGCTGCTTCTGCTGTAGGCGCTGTTGTTCTGTTGTTGATGATTGCCGTAGGGACGCATGGCGGGCCGGAAGCCCGGATACGGTACACCGTGCTGAAAGTCGCCAGCGTCGAAGCGGTGATGATGGGGCTCGTGCAGGAAGCCGTCGTTGGGAATCGGTGGCAATCTGCCGTAGGCGGCGACAGCCGCGTGTCGATCGACGTGCGACGGCGTCGTCTGCTCGTGGCCGTCGATCTTACCGATCGGGCCGTCCGACGACGGACGTCCGGTTGGAAACGACGGCATCATAGCCGGATGATGATGCCCGTAAAAAGGAGGGAAGCCGAAAGAATTTGGCAGTCCCACGGGACGGTGGTATCCCTGATGCGGCAGCGGTGGCGGTGGCGGTTGTCCAGGAGCGTCCAGAACGTATAATCCCGGCTTCTTGTCGCCGCCGTAGTGATAAGCGTCGTTGCCGAGCTGCTGCCGCTGATAATCCTCCCGGGGTTCACCTTTGATCTCGACGCCGGCCTCCGTGGGCTCGGGCATCTCGACTTTAACTCTTACACCGTCGTTCCTGTCTATGCCGGGTTCGCTCTTGATGGCGAAACCAACCGGCGATCTCGCCGGGGGACTCGTCGTGTCGGAGTCCTCGTTGCAGCCACCTACACTAGCCTGCTGCATTCTCGGGAGGTTCACACCGATTCGACACCGCAGTGGTGTTTCTCGTACGACCACGACGGCATCATCACCCTGCGAATCGATTGTACGATCGTCAGATTGCGATTGTCGCGATGTGAATAAATCGGCCGTCGATCAACCACAGTGAAATCGTGCGAGCAAGGCGAAGCGGAAAACACTACAGTCGTGGTGGGCGAACGATAGTGAAATCGGATGCGCATTATTTAATTGCACAAGTTTACTTAAATTCCGGAATGTGGCTCGGTCTTGCCCGCGAATTGGCAGAGAGCCGGATAACGGGAGTATTCTCTGTGGTTGCTGCGAGAATATCGCGTCGCACGATCCGTGAGGGCGAGAATTCCGTCAGAGTGTCGCATTCGGCACGTGGAACGCATTCGATGCACGCTGTAAACGCATAGCTGACGTATAATCCTCTGGAGCATTCGTGATCGTCTTAGGCCCGCATCGTGTAATTCCGCGCGTGGAAACCCCTCGTGCACACGTACACACCGCACACACGTGCGAGTCTCTCTCACGGAGAACGGGCGTCGTCCGCGCGTCCGTGGACGACACATTCATCCACGATAGAAGCGTGGGTCGGTCGTGCTGAATTTCGGTCGCATGGAGGGGGGAGAACGAAGGGAGGGCAAGGGCGGCGTGACAGTTTCCGTGTCACGTGTCCACCGACCTTAAGCCCCGCCTACGACTCCGATTTTCTCTAACGAGCCAGGATCGTTACCTGGCCCTTTCTCAATTCGTCATTCGTCGCTCGAGTCGAATCACAGAGCGACCGCGCGAAAGGGAGAGGGAAAGCGACGACAGTCCGCAGCTCTCGAGCAATGCTGCGATCAGGGGAAGCGAAAACAAATGTCACTTCACCAGGAGCTCCGATTTCTCGTACGGTCACTCCTCTCTCTCTCTCTCTCTCTCTTTCTTTCTCTCTCGTCGCTACCACCCTCGCTTGCCCACCACCGTCCCTTCCTCCTCCTCCTCCACCACTTCCTCCTCCTCCTCCTCCTCTTCCTCCTCCTCCCCCGCTTCCTCCGTCCTCCCTCTCCTCTTCTGCGACAAACCGCCGAGCGTGAAGCACCACGCGAACACCGGACGCGCGATTGGCGCGTTTTCTTGCCGCTACCGCCGCCGTCGTCGCCGCAGCCGCGAGAACTCTTTACGGTACACTGCCTCGAGAACGCATCGCGAGTCTCCCGCACGGAACCACGTTGAGTACCGGACCGGGACGGTTTCGCGCCTCCGCGCGATACGCGCGTGTGCGGGCCGGTATGCGTGCGGTATGCGTGCGTTTTCCGCCGGCTCGCACACAAGACACGTATAGGGCACCAACGTCGTCGTCGTTATCGTTGCCGTCGTCGTCGTCGTCGTCGTCGTCGTCGTCGTCGTCGTCGTCGTTGTCGTCGTTGTCGTTGCGAGCAGCCGCCCGGTCTTATCACGAAGGCGACGAAAGAAGCTGTCGGCCGGCGCGAAACACGCAGCGGGGCCCGATACGCAGAGGAAGGCCGGCGGCCTCGGTCGAGCTGATCGCGTACGTACGAGTTTCGTTCCACGCAGCGTGAAACTCTTGGCGGAGGTGCGCGGCGCGCGGCGGCCACCACCAGTCGACGGGAGCACACGAATTCACCCGAATACAGCCGAGAGAGCTTCGATATATCTCTCTACCTATACAGACTACAGAGTACTCCGACCGCCTCCCGCCTTCCGCAAGCGAACACCGCTGCCGCCACCGCCGACCGACAGATCCACGAAGTGGGTTCACCTTTTGTGAAGCCGTCGGCTCTCTCGCCGAACTCGGCAGCTTGCTCCGGAATTATACCACTCCATCGTGTCCTCCTGAGGATCAAACAAGTTCGGTCCGAGGGACAACTGAAATCGGAGCATATAGTCTGAGAGAGGCAAAAAATACCCTCTCAGGGTCCCACGCGGTTACAACGCAGCTCACGCGAAATGTTGCAAAATGAGGTTCGACACTTGTCTGGCTTAAAAATTTGTTACTTTCTACTTATTCACAGACTTGTCATGATATGGTTGAGTAAAGTAAATTGATTGGGGCAAAACGCGCGCGACCGCAACGATCAGAAACATGAAAATGACGTTAATTATATGCTGATGATATATTGCGAATTTCAATAAATGTTAATAATACAAGAATTTGAGACAATTGAATTTTAAAAGCAAAATATTATACATGTAATTTGGTGTGTAAAAATGTCTCTCAGGATCTCACGCAATCACGCAACTAATATATCACGCGAAATGTTGCAAAAGGAAGCCGAATCTGATCTAACTTTAAAATATATAATTTGCTTTCTATTATGTACGATATTTTAGATTTATATTACGAGATGTTTGAATAAAGTAAATCGATCAAAATGACCGTAATGATTAAAAATATGCAAATTACGTTAATTATACGGCGATGTTACACGTTACTAATTTGACGACGGTAAATGTTAATAATACAAGAAACGGGCTAAAAACCGGTACAGTCAATGATCCCGAAAATACATCTCTTTCAATTAAACGCGGTATTGAATCATGTAAAACCGAGACGGCTGGTTACACTAGTTTAGATATAGGGTTCATCATCGAGTTCAGGACGAAATTGATGCAAAATTGCGTTCGCAAATTCGGTTATATCCACGAATCTCGTGTTTCGGTTGCATACGTTCATTATAGCGTCAACGGAGCGTAATTCATTTGTGTTCGCGATATCATTCATATTTAATCGTCGATCGGGCTTAACCGACAAATTTCTCGTCCACCGAGTTATCGGGTTCAAATCCCGTTTACCTTTTCCCACGTGAGAATCTTTTTTCCTGCCCTCCCCCTCCCCCTCCCCCGCATCGCTACTTTGTATTACCTGCGTCAATATAGTTGCGATGAGAACCGCCGGACGTGGGTATGCCTGTGTACCCCGCCACCGCACGATATATCAGGTTACATATCCGTTGCGTCATGTAAATTGATACCTGTACACGCTCGTACACCGATCGAGCATTTATTTAAGCCATAAATTATCGTAATGTCGATTGGACACGCTTCTAGGTACGATTTTACTAACCAGACCATCGGCGGCGGTTATGCTCCAGGCTGCGTGGAGACAATAAAACACGCATTCACGCGCTGATCACGCACGCTTAGAAATCGTCATATTACGCAATTACAAACAAGGAAGCCGCGCGCGGGCGTTGTTGAAATTTACGACGACGAATGGAACGGAATTATCGTCTCTCAACACTTAGGCTGCAAATTAAAATCGCACGATTACATTTTCTGCGTCAAGTAAAGCAGACAGTAACGCGATGTTACAAGGAAAGGATGTAGTTTTGCTGAAGTATATCTAAAAATTTAGTTAATGCAGATTTGAAAATGATCTTATTGAACCATTAAAACAGTTATGTAAGACACTCAATCTAGTTGCTAGAATTTTGAACTTTTTTTACAGCGTTACGTTTTAATTGTCTACATAATTATTTTAACGATTCGATCAAATTATTTTCAAATTTGTATCTAATTAAATTTTTTAATGCCAGCGAAATTGTTCTAATTGTAAGAATTTGTAAACAGTAAGATGAGTGTCTGAGTCGTTACGAAAATTAGTGTTTACGTAGTTTTGAAAATTTTAGAAACATAACATTGTAAGAAAATCAAGTTTACATCAAGTAAAAATTAGTTTAGAAAAGATTATGTTATTTGATACACTTTTAACGATATTTTTGATATTTAAGTATCTTTTTCATCACAAAAAGATTCGTCAAAAGTGTACAACGACTACACAACAATTTTTTTTAACGACTCTTACTTGATATTATCTTGATTTTATTATAATCTTTTATTCCACCTAGAATCTTGCAATCAGAACTTTAGTACTTGCATTTATCTTGAACCGCCTAACTTTGTTATTACGAACTGCGCTTTCAAACTTGATTCAGCGCGAACGAAAAGGATTGTCTATTATCATCACAGATCGCGTCAACTAGCGAATCCTCCATCATTGGGCGTTGCTGACGATGTCGAAGGAAATTTATAGCGAAGCATTTTTCGCGGATATATTCATCTACTTTCAACATTCATCTCCAGTACTCTCATGCGGCGATTTCTTAGCTCGTATAAAACCGTCACGCGGATAGAGATTTCCTCCGTGAGGAAACGAGGCTCTTTTTTTTACAAGCGTCTCCATGTTTTGTCTCGCGTGGCAGGTAAAACGACGCCGATGCTGCAGCAGGTATTGCGTATAGAGCAGCCGTTGCGGGCTTCGCCTTTCGAGGTAGCCTATACGTGCACCCATCCGTATATACCGAGACAAAAGGAGCAGGAAGGACAGAACCGTGGGTTCCCTCCTTTCCTCTCTCTCGCTTGCTGCCGCCCTTTTCTCTCCTTCTCCCTCTTTTTCTTCCAGCGCGCAGCCCGTCGATACTCGGCTTATACGACTCGCGGGGCGAATCGATGCGTGTGTGCATGCACTCTCTTCGCAGCGGGATGACTGGTGAGAGAATTCAATTTCCGTCGTCGTTATCGTGCCTCCATCTTCAGCTCAGGCCACGCTCGGATCATCCTCGCTGACTCCTCGCCTTGCCCTCCCCGTCGCCGCCACTGCTTGCCGGCAGTAACGAGACAAAGCCGTCATTGCCTTCGCTTTTGCCCGCGTTCCTCGTCTCGCGACCTTTCCGCCGGATGGACCGTCAACAGCGCGAGCGAGCAAAAGCGTTATCGAGAGAACCTCTCTCTGATAACGATCAACCTGACCGACTAAGTCTAAAGTGCATGTTTAATTATGTCGAGCGATTCGGAATGAATTCCGCTGCTCGCTATCATATCGGCGATCTATTCGGATCGGATTCGATCTAGACTAGTAATAATGATGATCGAAGGGAACTCGTCGATTCCTCTGCTGAAACGTCACGCTCAGATAGCAATCATATTTCTAGGCTCCAGAGCAAGTTTCACAAAAGTATTATATAATAGTTATTAAGAAAAAGAATCCGTGT